TTTCATACATAAATATATCTTTGTTTTTTTGTACAGGCTTGTACCATCGTGAAATAATGTACAATTAGTGTTACATTCTAAGAATGATAATGCTAACATAATTCGAAAAATAACTCAGAGTGTTTAAAATTTATATTTTGTAAAGGTCAATTTTAATAAATTTTATTATGGTCTTATTTATATTATAACATAAATTTTGATTATTCACGAAAAAAAATATTTTATTAATAAAAATTCAGCATATGCTTTTTTTTTTTTTTTTCTCTAAATAAAGAATTCAGTTATCTAAAAACAACATAGTGTACATAAATAAAATACATATAAAATAGATAAATACGTAAATATTAAAATAATGATAATAATTATGAAGCGGTTTAATGTGGCCAGACTTAAAGACCAAGAACCTAAACGCCCACTTTATTGTTTGAATAGCTTCAGCACCTTTAAATTAATTAATGAACAAACACATTTAAAAAGTTTAATATGGTGTTTACAGAGCGCAACTCGTTTTAAACTCGTTTTAAACTTTTGTACCTTTCAATGTTGCTCCATACGTTAACTGCGTTCTCCAAGTAGTAACGGTGGTACTAATGATTTATGGGTGCTGGGACTCCAACTGGGATACCACGTCTGAATAGTGTATTTTCTAACAGTTCGGCGGAACGTCTATAATTATCGTGCATAGTCTCAAGATATGTTTGATAGTCTGGGCCAGAAGGTGCTGAATAATGTCTAAAGTATGGGTCAAAAATATCGAGGTAGTGTCCGTAGTATAAGTCGTTCGGCCCAAAATTATCAAACTGATCGATGAAATATTGGTAGCGAATGTTAAAATCATGATATGCCTCGTTTCGTTTGACTAAAAAAAAAAGAAAAATTCAATATCTTTGTAAGCTTTTATATTGTTGACATTAGTAATAGATATCAGAGAACGTCAATATTAGTAGTACCTTCTTCAGTGTCCGGGTACTGATCTAATGAATATTGTATACCGGCGTCACGTTCAAAAAGTTCGTTTCGTTTTTTTATTATTACATTGTTTGCGGATCCTTGATCTTTTGAAGCTGCATAAGTATTAGCATTAGTTGCAGACATTTCAACGTTCTTCAGGTTAGCGGCTTCCGTGTTTTCTATGTCTTGATCTTGTTTAGATAAGAGATTTAATGGTGAATTAGGTAATATGGAACGTTCTTTATGTATCATGAACGTATTTGATGATCCTTGATCTTTTGATGATTGTAAATTATTAGCATTAGTAGCAGACGCTTCAGCTGCGTTATAATTCGCGGCTTCTGTATTTTCTATGTCTTGATTTTGATTAGAGAAGAAACCCAATGGTGAATTAGGATTAGGTGAATTAAGATTAGGTGAATTAAGATTAGGTAATATGGAACGCTCTTGATCCGAAGATTTAAGATGATTTCTTTTATGAATCATAAACGTATTTGATGAATCTACATTTTTTGAAGATTGTAAAGCATTAGCATTATTCGCTGACATTTCAACTGTTCCAAGGTTTGCGGCTTCAAGATTTTCTAGATCTTGGTATTGATTAGTCGAAATTAATGGCTTAGATGGAGGTAGAAACCTTCTAAGAAACATTGAGCTTGATGATTCTATATCTTTTGCATTGGCTAAAGTATTAGCATTATTCGCTGACATTTCAACTGCGTTAAGGTTCGCGGCATCAGTATTTTCGATATCTTGATTTTGACTCGAAGAAAAGACCGATGGTGGGGTAAGTGCTATGGAGCGCTTTTCATCCGAAAGTTGAGATTGATTTCTTTTATGAAACATCATCGTGTTCGCTGATTCTTTATTTTTCGAATTTGCAAATGCATTAGAGTTAGTCGCGGACATTTCAGCATTATTAAAGTTGGAGGCTTCTAAGTTTTCGATGTCTTGAAATTGATTCGATGAAAAGATTTTCGGCATCATAGATGCTATAGAGCGTTTTTGATCAGAAGAGGGATGTTGGTCTCTTTTATGAAGCATAAGTGTGTTCGCTGATTCTTTATCTTTCGAATTTGCAAATGTATTAGAGTTAGTCGCAGACATTTCAACATTATTAAGCTTAGAAGCTTCTAAGTTTTCGATGTCTTGAAATTGATTCGATGAAAAGATTTGCGGCGGCACCATAGATGCTATAGAGCGTTTTTGATTAGAAT